GAGGCACAAACAGCAGATTAAGTCTGGCTTTGAATGCCGCCCCTCACACACTTATACACACACGTGTGCACATGTACGCAGAGAGCTCCCACATCAAAATGTTTGGTCATTTATTGCTCAACCAACTAGCCATTTTTCATATCTGTCATGGTCCACACATTCTCCCTCTGCCTTTAATTCTTTTTTTTCTTTCACCAGACGATCTTTTCTCCCCATATTTGGAGCCGGTGCAGAATTTTGCATAGTTTTGCCTTTTCCCTGGATACTGTCTTTTCATCAGTGGCTGGCTTTTCTTTTGAATTGAACCAGATCAATTTACAGCCAGACAAAGATACAGTCTCTGTGTGCGTTGGAGAGGGAAGGCAGTGAGAGAAATAGGACGTGTGTGCTTTATGATGGCCATCATTGGCACAAACATTCTCTTCCTAGCTCTCTTTTGTTGTTATCATAGCCACAGCCATGGCTCCAGTGTGCTGCTCGCTCTCTAGCAAAGCATACACCTGACTCTGAATACTCAAGCTATTGTTGGCATCCATTCTTACCTGGTGGTCTGCTGTGCTTTACAATATGTGCATGCCCCTATACAAGTAAAAATGCATCTTTAACTACGACTTTACAAAGATTCACAATGGTTCTCAATGAAGGCATGAGGGCTTATTCTGCTCTCTAAACTCTCATTTGATGCAATATTTATAGGTTTCTTCCCAGAATTCCTGGATGCAGTGAGTGTTGTTTCTTTCTCCCCAGACTACGTCTACAATACAGCTCAGTCTATATGCCACAAGGCACATGTGTTTGTGTGCGTCCAGGCAGACGGCAGAAAATGACTCCAGATCTCTATCTTTCTGCATTTAAGTCTAGAGTGCCCTGATTAAACACAACCACAGAACAATTTGCCCGTTGTAAGGCTCTCCGATTAAACTGCTGATTTTCAGCACTGTGTCAAGTTATTTTGCCATGGCAACGCTGATTACAGTGTTATCGGCTTTTCATATTTTTTTGTATTTTTATTTTTTTAATCTTGACTCTTGAAAGGAAGTATAGTCAGATATTTTTTAATGGCTTGTGCTAGTGTTCTGCACTTGTCTTTTGAATTATCTGACATTGTGAGATGTGTATTTTAGAGGTTAGTGTCTATAAATGTCATATCCATGTCATATCTTCTAATTTCACTGTGACATGCAGTGATTATGAGATATCATCTTTACCTACAACACCATCTGATCTCTTGCACATGTGTTTAGAGTACAGTAACAGCTCCTGCAGTTGCAAACAGATGTGTGTTTGTGTGATAGCCTGCATCTGTGTTCATACGTGCCCTAAAATCTTTGTTATTGCAAGCCGTGCTACAAAGCAAAGAGCTCCGTTTATGGCACGCATTTACAATTTATCAAATAAATGGGATGCCTTCATGTGGCCTGGGCCCGGCTCTCAGGCAGAGCAGCGTAGTTTTCCACTGGAATAACAGCCGCTGAACAAGCAGCCCATTGTAGCCGCAGCCAGCACCGGGACCCCCAAGGTGCGAATTAATGATTGACCCCTGATGTAATCAGGATAAATAGCTCCCCATAAAAGAGAAAGAGATGGCGAGAGGAACAGAGAGAGAAAGAACAACATAAGGAGCCAGGGAGAGGAAGGCACTATCTGGCCCGGGTGTTTTTTAAGAAGTCCTCTGGGAGACGAACCTAACATCTCTTTCTGGGTCTTTTGAGACGCAGAGCTAACATACAGCTGGTTAAAAGCAGTGTAGCCGTCAGTTTTTAGACTCTTCACCTCCTCCTCTTCGTCCTCTTCATGGCCCCTTTCATTAATTTCCTGCTTACTTTTCTCATGTGCAACTTTTATCGGCACTGGTTGAACATGGTCCACTTGTCTTACAGAAAACAGGAGAGAGAGAGCTTGTCTCAAGTGGCAAGGAATCTAAAAATTTCCCAGTTTGCACTCCAGGCAATTCTTTTACGTGTCTCACAAAAGATGTTTGGTTCATTAAAATTAATAGTTTTTTTTTCTCTTTCTCCTTGTTACTCAATTATTTGACGTAGTGATCTGTGCATGTTTTTTTATGCACAGAGACGGTTAAAGCCAAATAGTATTTAATAGATTTTCCAATCCTGTCTTTCTGCTTGTCAGAATTGCTCTCAATGGGTCAAGTGCCAGTGTGGGGGAGTGAAGAGGGAGATTGAGTTTTTAAAAAAAGTGTTTAACAGCCTGAAAACACTTTTGATTGTGCAGAGGGAGCAGCAGATAGGGCTATGTTATAAAACTTTAATTGATCTGTGAAAAGTGGAAGCTACTGCTGGCTCACATGTTCCAATGCTTAATTGCACGCCTGGTCTGAGCCCCTATGAAACAGTGATCATTAAAAAATGGGTTCTTTTCCAGTCAAAATCACTGGATGACGCAGAATCAGTCATAAAAGGCTGGATTTTACTGCTGTAGCTTTATATGATAAGTTTCCCGGATCTGCGTGGACAGGCTGCAAGTTTGCCAAGCACTGAAAAGCCCTTGTCGCATGCTTTCATAGTTTCACGTTTCGCATTTAAAACTTACATGTCAGTTAATTTAACAAGTTTCACAGTCCACATCTGTCACTGGGCAGAAACCCAAATATTTATCAAAGAAGAAAAAAACTGATGCACTACATGATGAATGTGCTCAGTGATGACTCTGTCTATAATGGCTTCTTGATTAGCTCATTCAATCTTTCTACAGTTTACAAGCTTCAGTGTTTCGCTCCTCACCTTATTAAGCATATACAGAAAAATAGTTTAGAAATTAGTACACTCTTAAAACTGAAAGAAAATGTATTATCTGTTGTTTTAGTTTAACTTGTTAATGATGCATATTTCTTACATCACGTTTTATTAAAATTCAACCCACAAACTTCCATTGTGACCTAATAAACTTCCATGTACTTACAAGCAAATTCTTTAAATGTCATGTTGCAGCTCCAGCTAAAACCTGGGAAGCGGCGGCTGGCTTGGCAGCAGGCTACATGGAGGCTAACAGAGGGAGAGAGCTTGATTGGAACCACTCCTGCTGTAATTTTGGGCCTAGTTAGCCTGCTGATTGCCAGTCCCTGTGTTTAGATAGTAAAACTGCAGTGGTGCTTTGACTAAAGACACCAGGAGCCCTCCAGAGAGGAAAAGGAGACACATATAGATGTACTGAGGCAAACACACACACATACACAAACAAATATGGACAGAGTAGGGCTGGATGCTGAACCTGTTTTTGGTACTGACGCGGTCAGATGTGGCATCCAGTTTGCATCAAATATCTGGTGACATTTCTTTGATCAGAACATTTAAACCTAATTTTACCAATTGTATATTTTTTATGAAGACAAAGTCCTCGTGTGGCTGCTTGGGTTAGCACTTGGGAAGTTTGGTTTCTTTGTTTAATTAAAAAAAATAAGTTGAAAAGAGTATTGTGTAGGTAAGTATGTAAACCCAGGTATTACTTCAGCACTGATATTCAAAAAGGCATATGGTGAATGGTCTACTAATACACTATGACTAATATCATGTGCTGTTAAAAATCCCATTTGCCCCACACAGCGAAGTAGCTCTCCAAGATACATTTGCACATGCCCATTTACAAACCTTCACTGTCCACAAAAATATTTCATAAAACCACACTTAGAGAAATCGGATGAAACTTGAAGCCAAATGTTATGGCATCCATACACACACACACACACACACACACACACACACACACACACACACACACACACACACTTGTAGTGCTCATCATCATTTTTACTATTGTTGGAATGATGGGATCCTGGAGTGCAGGCACAATCATATTGTCAATCTCTGGACATGACAATAATGATAGGTGACGAGGCTAACCAGGTCAGTGATAGACATAGCCATTATTTGTAAGATGAGTCCTGGCAGAAAATAGTGACTGCGATGGTAGTGAGAACTTTTCCCATCAAGATCTTGGCTAACCTAAAGCTTCTTCTCGTCATCTGTCTGGCTCTTCTCAGACGGCCTCTGGAAAATCTGTGAACTTAGCGTCTTGTAGCTGAAGGGCAATCAAAATGATAGGATTCTTTTGTGACGACCCCCCAATTCTCTCTTTGTACAGTGTGGTTTTCTAACAGTTTAGAGGTTTGGAGATTGCGGTGGGGTGTTTTTTGTAATTTAGAGTCAAGAAGTCACTGGATGCGTAGTGTCTACTGAGGCTAGGGATATGACGTACGCCATCAGACCGGCAGTAGCACTGGGTGAAAGAAAACGCAGCCCTCTTATTCATTTGAATGGAGCCATCTATTGAAGCAGAGGGCTTCGGCAAAACAGCGAAGGATTGTGCGGCAACAGTGCTGAACCTCAACATTGGCTGCATTGGCAAGGTGCTGTGCTTACCAAACAAATACATGCAAGAACACAGTCCTGGTGGATTACTTTTGTAACATGAGTGGATCATTTCTGCTACTAAAATAGTTTAAACATGACATAAAATAAAAGAGATGCCAGGGTGAATGTAAAATCCTGTCTGTGAGTATTATAAACTGTTGTACAGTATTTTGTCATCTGATAAATGCATTGATCTGTTATTTAAACTTGACTACCTGTAGGGTTGTAACCCCCAATTCTACCCCCTGCGCTGTTTTAAGGTAGGGATGTTTTTGGTGTGAATCCCTGCTTAAAGTATTTCAGTCTCTGTGTAAAGGAGTACCGTCACTACGGTTGAGTATGCACACTGACTGCCGTAACAACAACAACCCTGGCTCTTAGGCACTGTGGTCAAGTTTGTTTATTACCATGATGACCTGGGTTTGAATCTGGGTGGGGTGACTGCTCTCTCCCTTCGCCACACTCTGTATTTCTGTGTAATTCTGAGATTAATAGCATACATTTGGCGGGTTAAAACAGATATTTTCTGTCTTTTCCTAACATGCTGATGGTGAAATCCATGACCTCCTTGGTGTAATCTGAAAATTGTATGCTTATTAACAATCGTCTCTGTACATGTGTTTTGTCTCATAGATGACAGTGAGCCAGTGGACAGCATGTACGACACAGAGGCTGACCTCCTGGGTTTAGCAGCCGGCGGCGGAGGTGGTGCCGACAGCCCAGAAGATGATGCAGAAGACGGCATCATCAGCATGTCCCCCCTGCCCTCACCTATTCCTTCCCATCCAAACAACAACCACCACCACCTGCTGCACCCTCACATCTATGCCACCCACCACCACCACCTTCACAACAACAGCAACAGCAGCAGCAATGACCAGGACTTCACCACACCCAAGGAGGGCTCGCCCTACGAGGCACCTGTCTACATTCCAGACGACATTCCCATTCCCAGCGAACTAGAGCTGCGGGAGTCCTCTGTGCCCGGTGCAGGTCTGGGTGTTTGGGCCAAGACCCGCATTGATGCTGGTGAGAGGTTTGGTCTTCATAGCACGCTGCATCATGGGGCCACGGGCAAAGACAGCTCCTTCGGATGGGAGGTAGGAACCAGCACGGCTTCTTTGTACTTTGTTTTGGGTTGTTTACTGTTTTTTTCTATCACTTTTGACCACTTACATATTGTGTGGTACAAACACGAATGTACTGTAACATATGAAATGAAAGAGCGATAGAAACAATGAAGCAACACTGAAGAGGGTAAAATGAGCGTGCCGCTCTTTGTTCACGCATTCACATTTCCAGCCAACACTCGTCACATGCGATCTCATCATCAGCCAAGATGCCATTCCATTTGCGTCCCCTGGATGATTGGACCTCATCGTTGATCCTGCACATACACACAGGCCTCCACACGCATACAAAACGCACTCGCCCAGAATTCCAGCAGCACAGCAATGTCAGATGGAAAAATCTTGCTGATTAGTGGAGGTATCAGCTTTTCTGGGCGTCGGTCCGAGCGAGCACACTCATTTGGTCACGCCACCCGATATGGAAATGGAAGAAGCATGGCCCAGTGCGGTGGCGGCATATTGAACTATTAATTTTCATTTCAACATGACATTAGAGGATATTGAAGTTGCTTCAGTAAGCTCATTAAGAAAAAAAAAAGAAACTCCTGATCTCTGTCTCTCTCTCTCCCTTTCTCTCTTTCTCATATGCCTAATCAGAGATGAAATATACTGGCCTGCTTTTCATTTCACTGACTCCTTGACTCTTCATTTTCAGGGGCCGGTCATTCACATCTAATCACATCTAATATTACATTTGTACGTTATAAGGAATAGAGACTTTGACAAGTTAATCAATGGAACGCCATGTTGGAGAGGGCATGATGCGCTTGAATAAAACACCACCAGCTCATGTAGGCTTACACAGTTACACGTTTATAAAATTTTACCTGTGGATTAACAGGCCATGCAATGATGTTGAGATGGTTTTGTTAAATTGTAGTTTCTGGGAACTGTGCATTTAGAAAACCATTTCCATTTTAAGCAAATATTTTGTATTGAATGGTTGCACATTGGACCACATAAACTGATGAAATAAAAGGTTTACTTGTAGAGGATTTGTTGTTCAGCTTACACATCTCATATTTTGCACTATAATCAACAAAGCAATGGCAAAAGTTATAGTTATCAAAACGTGAGTTGCCTGCTACTGATGTAGTTGATATTTAGGCAGATGGAGTAGAGCTAGTACCATAGTAGCGGGAATAATTATTTCATAACAGCAAAATGTACTAATTTGTTCAACCTTGTACTCTTGTACATTTTAACTAGCACAGTAAAACTAATATTGGAGAGTTTAAATTAAAATGAAATTAAAATTCTTAAATTAGTTGCAAAAGTATGTGGCAAATGTTTTCATTGTTTCTCATAAAATATTTTAAATATAATATTTCTCAAAAATTCAAATTCCTCATTAACGAGATTTTAAAGGAATCTCTAATGGTTCCCCAAATATGCTCAGTCTGGAGAACTCCTGGTGTTTTCCATGAAAGCCTTCATTTCTTTTTTTACCCTGTTTTCTTCTTAACAGTTGTAGGAGCATGCAGGCGTTTAGAGCATACAGAAACACGCTATGTGGCAGTGTGCCATGCTGAACATTTTCCTTTTTAAAGTTCATATTATGGCTAGCCATTCGGGGTGCAAAGGGCACCTCTCCAAAAGCTACAATCTCCCCGTAGCTCTCATGTTTTCTCTCAGTTTTCCTCCTCCTTCCTTTTTTCTCCCCAGACACCCAACTAATGCATATTCATCACCAAACTTTAGCTCTCTGGCTTAGGAAAAAAGGCCACCTTCAGCTCTAAAGAGATGCATTCACACATGTGCTCACAGAAATGTCCTGGCATAGACAAACACACACACACACACACACACACACACACACACACACACACACCTCCCCAAAAATGATGTCTAGTTATTTGGCCACTGGAGTTTGAAGTTAAGATGAAGTTTATTAAACACACACATAAGATGCAGTATGGGCACAAACAAATCCCAAGTCCAAATTCTATCACTGACTTTGGCACATTCTTATTGTTTTGGAAGCTTTGTTTATGAGCAATGCATTTTTTTCAAATCAATTTACATATTGCTGTTAGCTTGAGGTCAATTTTGTTTCCCCTCAAGGTAAAATCTTTGGTGTTTGCCTCCCAACCTGACAAAAGGGAAAGATTGATCCGTCTTCTCTTCCTCCGCCTCCTGAGTGGTCGTTGGAGGACTCCCTCTGGCTTATGCTGTATTATTTTTTTAAGATATCCTGTCTGGTTTGGAGCTGGAAGCCTTCAGGGACTCTCCTCTCTCAGACTCTTATCACAGATAGTCATAACAATCAGCCTGTTGATAATCATCAACAGACTCCCCTAGGAGTCCCATACACCCCGTTCTCCCCTCTTTCACCATCTACCCCTCTACCCTTCTACTGCCTCTGGTCTTAGACAAATAGACAGGCAAGGGAGTGACAGAAATATGGCTGAGTGAAGAAAGATGTTAAAAGAAATGAGAGAGAAATAAGGATTAATGGGGATGGATAGAGTAAAAAAGAAGATGAAAAAAACACATTTCTCACAGCATCAGAAAGGCTAGAGGAGTCTATACTCGTCATGCAAATTCTGTGAATATGTGTTTGTGTGTGCTTTACACTGGCCCCCTGCCAAAACAGGGGGATGTGTTGTGAAAGATAATAAGTGTAGTCATCAGTCTCTATAGTATAAATATGATCATATCTAAAAAGGCCTCATACATTGTGGCTCAAAATTGGATTAGTTGCTGAATGTAGTTATCAGAGTGATTACAGTGTGCTTACACTTATAATAAATTGTACTGTACAGTCTTGCTGATGTTGAATAAAACCTTTTCTTCCCAAAATATTCCTAAGAGATAAACAACCTTGTCTGACTTGATGACCATCATTTTGAGTTGATTAAATTATCTTAAAATCAAAGGTTTTAGACCTGTATAATCCTTGAAAACACCAAAATTGCAGTTACAAAGTTTTACTCATCAACAATGATATATGCCATCTGCAGTCGTACACTTAAATCCAAAACAGTTTAACTACATTGACTGCATTTTTGTGGATTTTTTACTAACACTGGCAATAACTCATTATGTTGGCTTTGCAAGCCCCGCGGTCTACCAACGAAGCCAAACAGCTCTAACAATCACATGGCGGATGCTGTAGTGCTTTTTTATATATCTGAGTTGAAGTGTAGATTTGTGGAGAGAAAGCGAGAGAGTAATAGAAAGAGAGAGTGAATGAATAGGAGTGAGAGAAAGAAGAAAGAGGAAGGCAGAGAGGAAGCCTACTATTGTCTGTCCCGGGGCACCAGGGACTGGAAGAGGTGTTAACTCAGACTCATTTCAGTGAGACGGACAGCTCAATCTAAGAGCTGCTTCGCTGCAGGCCATGGCCATTCTCTTCTGTCTCAGACTCCCTCTCTGGGCCAGCACCAAGTCATCCATTTAAAAACCATTATGCTCTCCCTTTAGCACAACATGATAGAACGCCAGGGCCCCAGGTCTACTATAAGTGTGTGTGTCTCTCTGGTTGTGTGTGTGTAGGGCTGCCAATCCCTCAGGATAGGAAGGCCTGAGCAAGCAGTGAGGCAAGGCCCTCAGAGAGTGCTGGTGGGGATCTACTGTCAGAGTGCCACTGCTGCTATTATCTGGCCGGTAGATTGACCTGACTTGCCTATTGATAGAGTCATGTCACCATACAATGGTGGAGGTATTGCACTCTTCACTGACTGGCATTGAATAGACTCACTGATCTAACTCCCTTGGGTGTTCAGATTGTAGGAGAGAGTGCAACACATTTGTGGATGTGTTTGAAGGAATCAGTGCATGTTAATAGGAACAAACTGTTCATTTTCAGGTAGGTAAAGGCTTTGACTTTGATCCTTAGAGGAAAACCAAGAGAAAATCAAAGTCTATATTCACAATAGCCGTGAAGCAAACAAACGTTATGGCCAAGCCCTCTTGAAGCGATATTAATGGTGCTTACTCTCACATCTCCTTACCCTGTGACCACTGGGCGTGTCCTTACGCCTCTGAATCGTGGCTTTTGAAACTCCCCTAGCACCTATTAGCCTTGTCTTTTCTCAGTATTTCACCAGCTTCAGTGTTTGATATCTCACAAAAGTCTTACTTGAAGGTCAAGGCAGTGTTGCAGCACAATCTCACCAACTGGGAGAAGAATAAGTCCTTTGCCTTAAAGAGGACACATTTGGACAATTTACTGGCTGCTGAACTTGTAATTGCCAATGTTGGTGTTCTGCCGTTGTCAATTTATAGAATATAAATGATAGGCCTACACAGCACAACACCTTTAGGGTATCATATATTCTGATTCATGATAACGGGGGACGTAAGAAGGACATATTATGCATTTTGATTTTAGGGATGTTCACCGATGTAGCCCCTTTGGACAAGGTCAACACAAATGCTTTCACACATAAAAACATGTATCATAGAAGCCATGTCAGCCCTGCAGCCATGTTTGTCTCTTTGCAGAAGTGGACCTTGGGATGACATTGTTGCCAGGCAAACTTCTTTTTCTTTGTCCCTCATTCTTTTTCTGTTTACTTTTTGTGGGGTGATTTTCCATATCAGTATCATTCATCCAGTGATGTTTGAAAAGAGGCAAAAGTATGCTAGCTCTTCTGTTTACCCCGTTATTGACTTAGTGATAGGCTAAGACATCTGGCGGGCACTCTCATGTCGCCAAGGTTCTACGTGACGGATACTGATTCGGCCATGGCATCATGCATCTCCCTCACCCTATGTCAGGCACTTAATCTTCAGCTTGACAGCTCACTTTTCACGCTGACGCTTTGCTCCTTTTGTTCACGTCCTAATCGCTGAGCTGAGCTAACGTCCTTGTATCCAAACTTTCGGGAGAAGAAGTCCTGGCGCACCCTGACACTTATCTGTCCTGACCCACCTCTCGCCTCCTAAAGTGTTTGCTCGCCTTTTGTGTTTTGCCTGAGGAGGGCGGATGGCCAAGTTCTTATGCTGCAAGATATCCCTATAGG